GATTACGTGGAGTTTTGCATGAATTGGGCATAAAATGTGCTCTGAACGTCATCTAAGTCACAACAATAGAAGAACACAGTCTGCTGAACATAATACTACACAAACATTAGATGTTGCCATGGTGTAATTGCACATAACATGTAAACATTCACAGTGCAGGGTGGAAAAAGTATGTGAACCTTTGGACTTAATAACTGGTTGACCCTCCTTTGGCAGCAATAACCTCAACCAAACGTTTCCTGTAGTTGCAGATCAGACCTGCACAATGATCTGGAGTAATTTTGGACCACTCCTCTTCACAAAACTGTTTCAGTGTAGCAATTATTCTTGGGATGTCTGGTGTGAATCGCTCTCTTAAGGTCATGTCACAGCATTTCAGTCGGGTTGAGGTCAGGACTCTGACTGGGCCACTCCAGAAGGCGTATTCTGTGCTGTTGCAGCCAATTGTTTGTTGAATTACTTGTATGCTTTGGGTCATTGTCCTGTTGCATCACCCATCCTCTGCGGAGCTTCAGTTGGCGGACAGATGGTCGTACGTTTTCCTGCAAAATGTCTTGATAAACTCTGGAATTCTTTTTCCCATCAATGACAACAATCTGTCCAGGCCCTGAGGCAGCAAAGCAGCCCCAAACCATGATGCCCCCTCCGCCATGTTTTACAGTGGGGATGAGGTTTTGATGTTGGTGTGCTGTGCCTTTTTTTCTCCACACTTAGTGTTGTGTGTTCTTCCCAAACAACTCAATCTTGGTTTCATCTGTCCACAGTATATTCTGCCAGTAGTGCTGTGGAACATCCAGGTGCTCTTTTGCAAACTTCAAATGTGCTGTAATATTCTTTTTGGACAGCAATGGCTTCCTCCGTGGTGTCCTCCCATGTACTCCATTCTTGTTTAATGTTTTCCTTATTGTAGATGTGTCAACAAAAATGTTAGCATGTGCCAGAAATTTCTGTAGGTCTTTAGCTGACACTCTGGGATTCTTCTTTACCTCATGCAGCATTCTACACTGTGCTCTTGCAGTCATTTTTACAGGACGACCACGCCTAGGGAGAGTAGCAACAGTGCTAAACTTTCTCCGTTTGTAGACAGTCTGTCTTACCGTGGACACATGAACATCAAGGCTCAAGGAGATACTTTTGTAACCCTTTCCAGCTTCATGCAAGTCAACAATTCTTGATCGTAGGTCTTCTGAGAGCTCTTTTCTGCGAGGCATGGTTCACATCAGACAGTGCTTCTTGAAACCAGTAAACCCAAAACAGGTGTGTGTTTTTTAAGGGCAGGACAGCTGTCAGCAACACATCCAATATCATCACACTGATTGGAGACAAGGTTGGCTCACTCCTGGCTCCAATTAGCTCTGGGAGAAGTCATTAAGCTAGGGACTCACATACTTTTTCCTCCCTGCACTGTGAATGTTTACATGTTATGTGGAATTAAACCATGGCAACATCTAATGTTTGTGTAGTATTATGTTCAGCAGACTGTGTTCTTCTATTGTTGTGACTTAGATGACGTTCAGAGCACATTTTATGCCCAATTCATGCAAAACTCCACGTAATCCCAAGGGGTTCACATACTTTTTCTTGCAACTGTAGCTGGAAACAATGCAACCAATAAGAAGGCAGCACAGCCAGATAGAAGAGGAAGTTATCAGCACACAAGAATTTTGGCACCTTCAACAGAACAATTATCACGCTATCTGTCCTCAACACTCACTTACTGTACTGTATCTACAGAGGGCTGGACTACAGAACACCACCCTGCCATTCTATATAACATGGGGGAGGTGTTTTGTAGTCCACATAAGACACTAGAAAAAATTCAACTGATAAGGGTGCAGCATGGGCACCAGTTGTCAGCTCACCAGATTTTTGGCAGGATCAGCAGGTATTACTTTTCAAAAGGATAATAAACAAATAAAAGTTTGCTTTTGGGATTTACATACACGTTTGAGTCATGGCCTCTGTCGGTATATATTTCAGGTGGACTCTGCTGGAAGCACAGAAGTGAATTTCACAATAAAAGAGACCGTCTGCTTAGAATTGCAACCTGATTACGGCAAGAACTGCGCATATAAACCTGGAGGGGTGAGTATTGATCTGTAATCCAGATCACTGAATGTGCTATGATTGGGAATTGTGTGATTTATCAACAATCAATGACCAGAAACAGGAATCCTCCAATCACAAACCACAATGACATCGTCACCCGGGACCAGGGGCGGACTGACAACTCATGGGGCCCCCAGGCAATAGGGGATCACGGGGTCCCTATGTCCTTGCCCAAACTCATAAAAGCCTATGAAAAAGGTACCAGGGGCATCTCATGGGGCCCCCTACTGAACCCGGGCCCTCGGGCAGTGCCCAAGTTTCCAAATGGTTAGTCCGCCCCTGCCCGGGACTCAGTGATACAATAGAATACATGGATTTGGATAGGCCAATCTACGTTCCACAGCTACGGCAGTACGGCCGTGACATCACCACAAGCCTTCACATAATGTAAAGTAAAGCGAAAGCTTCAGAAAATGGTCAGAGACTGCAGACATACTACAGGAGACGGTCAGAGACTGCAGACATACTACAGGAGACGGTCAGTGACTGCGGACACAGTACAGGAGACGGTCAGAGACTGCAGACATACTACAGGAGACGGTCAGAGACTGCAGACATACTACAGGAGACGGTCAGAGACTGCAGACATACTACAGGAGACGGTCAGTGACTGCGGACACAGTACAGGAGACGGTCAGAGACTGCAGACATACTACAGGAGACGGTCAGAGACTGCAGACATACTACAGGAGACGGTCAGAGACTGCGGACACAGTACAGGAGATGACCAGAGACTGCGGACATAGTACAGGAAATGACCAGAGACTGCAGACACAGTACAGGAGATGGTCAGAGACTGCGGACACAGTACAGGGGATGACCAGAGACTGCGGACATAGTGCAGGAGATGACCAGAGACTGCGGACACAGTACAGGAGATGACCAGAGACTGCAGACACAGTACAGGAGATGACCAGAGACTGCAGACACAGTACAGAAGGTGACCAGAGACTGCGGACACAGTACAGGACATGACCAGAGACTGCGGACACAGTACAGGAGATGACCAGAGACTGCAGACACAGTACAGGAGATGGTCAGAGACTGCGGACACAGTACAGGGGATGACCAGAGACTGCGGACATAGTGCAGGAGATGACCAGAGACTGCGGACACAGTACAGGAGATGACCAGAGACTGCAGACACAGTACAGGAGATGACCAGAGACTGCAGACACAGTACAGAAGGTGACCAGAGACTGCGGACACAGTACAGGACATGACCAGAGACTGCGGACACAGTACAGGAGATGACCAGAGACTGCGGACACAGTACAGGAGATGACCAGAGACTGCGGACATAGTGCAGGAGATGACCAGAGACTGCGGACACAGTACAGGAGATGACCAGAGACTGCGGACACAGTACAGGAGATGACCAGAGACTGCGGACATAGTAGTACAGGAAATGACCAGAGACTGCGGACACAGTACAGGGGATGACCAGAGACTGCAGACACAGTACAGGAGATGACCAGAGACTGTGGACATAGTACAGGAGACGACCAGAGACTGCAGACATAGTACAGGAGATGACCAGAGACTGCGGACACAGTACAGGAGAAGGTCAGAGACTGCGGACACAGTACAGGAGATGACCGGAGACTGCGGACACAGTACAGGAGATGGTCAGAGACTGCGGACACAGTACAGGAGATGACCAGAGACTGCGGACACAGTACAGGAGATGACCAGAGACTGCGGACATAGTACAGGAGACGACCAGAGACTGCGGACACAGTACAGGAGACGACCAGAGACTGCGGACACAGTACAGGAGACGACCAGAGACTGCGGACATAGTACAGGAGACGGTCAGAGACTGCGGACATAGTACAGGAGACGGTCAGAGACTGAGGACATAGTACAGGAGACGGTCAGAGACTGCGGACACAGTACAGGAGACGGTCGGAGACTGCGGACACAGTACAGGAGATGACCGGAGACTGCGGACACAGTACAGGAGATGACCAGAGACTGCGGACACAGTACAGGAGATGACCAGAGACTGCGGACACAGTACAGGAGATGACCAGAGACTGCGGACACAGTACAGGAGATGACCAGAGACTGCGGACACAGTACAGGAGATGACCAGAGACTGCGGACACAGTACAGGAGATGACCAGAGACTGCGGACACAGTACAGGAGATGGTCAGAGACTGCGGACACAGTACAGGAGATGACCAGAGACTGCGGACATAGTGCAGGAGATGACCAGAGACTGCGGACACAGTACAGGAGATGACCAGAGACTGCGGACACAGTACAGGAGATGACCAGAGACTGCGGACATAGTACAGGAAATGACCAGAGACTGCGGACACAGTACAGGGGATGACCAGAGACTGCAGACACAGTACAGGAGATGACCAGAGACTGTGGACATAGTACAGGAGACGACCAGAGACTGCAGACATAGTACAGGAGATGACCAGAGACTGCGGACACAGTACAGGAGATGACCAGAGACTGCGGACATAGTACAGGAGATGACCAGAGACTGCGGACACAGTACAGGAGATGACCAGAGACTGTGGACACAGTACAGGAGATGACCAGAGACTGCGGACACAGTACAGGAGATGACCAGAGACTGCGGACACAGTACAGGAGATGACCAGAGACTGTGGACACAGTACAGGAGATGACCAGAGACTGCGGACATAGTACAGGAGATGACCAGAGACTGCGGACACAGTACAGGAGATGACCAGAGACTGCGGACACAGTACAGGAGATGACCAGAGACTGCGGACACAGTACAGGAGATGACCAGAGACTGCGGACATAGTACAGGAGATGACCAGAGACTGCGGACACAGTACAGGAGACGACCAGAGACTGCGGACACAGTACAGGAGATGACCAGAGACTGCGGACACAGTACAGGACATGACCAGAGACTGTGGACACAGTACAGGAGATGACCGGAGACTGCGGACACAGTACAGGAGATGACCAGAGACTGCGGACATAGTACAGGAGATGGTCAGAGACTGCGGACATAGTACAGGAGATGGTCAGTGACTGTGGACACAGTACAGGAGATGACCGGAGACTGCGGACACAGTACAGGAGATGACCAGAGACTGCGGACACAGTACAGGAGATGACCGGAGACTGCGGACATAGTACAGGAGATGGTCAGAGACTGCGGACACAGTGCAGGGAATGACCAGAGACTGCAGACATAGTACAGGAGATGACCAGAGACTGCGGACATAGTACAGGAGATGACCAGAGACTGCGGACACAGTACAGGAGATGACCAGAGACTGCGGACACAGTACAGGAGATGACCAGAGACTGCGGACACAGTACAGGAGATGGTCAGAGACTGCGGACATAGTACAGGAGATGGTCAGAGACTGCGGACATAGTACAGGAGATGGTCAGAGACTGCAGACATAGTACAGGAGATGACCAGAGACTGCGGACACAGTACAGGAGATGGTCAGAGACTGCGGACATAGTACAGGAGATGGTCAGAGACTGCGGACATAGTACAGGAGATGGTCAGAGACTGCGGACATAGTACAGGAGATGGTCAGAGACTGCGGACACAGTACAGGAGACGGTCAGAGACTACAGACATACTACTTCTGGGGCCCTCGGGTGACACAGTAAATGCCAGTAGAGATCCATGTGCAGTGCTCAGACTACAGGACAGACATCAGGGTTCTAGAGAAGAGAAGTAATTGTGGGTAACGTTCGGCCGTATTATGGAGACACATATCATAGAAGCTCTCAGCACAGACAGAAGTCCATAGAGGAATGATATGACGGGAAGGTGGCAGGAGATACAATTCTCACACAGTAACGTGTCTTCCTCCAGGCAATGGTGAGATGTGCCGCACATATAGTGACCGCGGGGGAACATCAGGAGGGTCTCAGGACGTTGTCACCCCAGGAATAAGAAGGTGAGAAAATAGGATTCCCCCTCCTGAGGATTCCCCTTCCCCTCCTGAGGATTTTGTCCCCCCCCTCCCCCTCCTGAGGATTCCCCTTTCCCTCCTGAGGATTCCCCTTCCCCTCCTGAGGATTTTGTCCCCCCCCTCCCCATCCTGAGGATTTCCCTTTCCCTCCTGAGGATTCCCCTTCCCCTCTCCCTCCTGAGGATTCCCCCCCCCCCTTCTGAGGATTTCTCCACCCCCTCCTGAGGATTCCCCCTCCCCTCTCCCTCCTGAGGATTCCCCCTCCCCCTCCTGAGGATTTCTCCACCCCCCTCCCCCTCCTGAGGATTCCCTTTCCCCTCCTGAGGATTTTGTCCCCCCCTCCCCCTCCTTAGGATTCCCCCCCCCCCCTCCTGAGTATTTCTCAACCCCCTCCCCCTCCTGAGGATTCCCCATCCCCATCCTGAGGATTACCCCTCCCCCTCCCGAGGATTCTCCTCCCCCTCCTGAGGATCCCCTTTTCCCTATCCCTCCTGAGGTTTCCTCCACCCCCTCCCCTGAGAATTTCTCCCCCCCCTCCCCTTCTTGAGATTTCCCCTTCCCATCCTGAGGATTCCCCCTCCCCCTCGTGAGGATTTTTCCACCCTCTCCCCCTCCCCTCCCCATCCTGAGGATTACCCCTCCCCCTCCCGAGGATTCTCCTTCCCCTCCTGAGGATTTCGTCCCCCCTCCCCCTCCTGAGGATCCCCTTTTCCCTATCCCTCCTGAGGATTCCTCCTCCCCCTCAAGAGGATTTCCTCCCCCCCTCTCCTGAGGATTTCTTTCCCCCCTTCCCCCTCCTGTGGATTCCCCCTCCCCTCTGAGGATTTCCCCTCCCCCTCATGAGGATTTTTCCACCCCCTCCCCCTCCTGAGGATTCGCCCTCCCCTCCCCCAGCCTGAGGATTACCCCTCCCCCTCCTGAGGATTCCCCTTCCCCTCCTGAGGATTTTGTGCCCCCCCCCTCCTGAGGATCCCCCCTCCCCTCTCCCTGCTGAGGATTCCCCCTCCCCCTCCTGAGGATTTCTCCCCCCCCTTCCCCTCCAGAGGATTTCCTCCACCCCCTCCCCTGAGGATTTCTCCCCCCCCCCCTTCTTGAGATTTCCCTTCCCATCCTGAGGATTCCCCTCCCCCCCCTCGTGAGGATTTTTCCACCCCCTCCCCCTCCCTGAGGATTCCCCCTCCCCTCCCCATCCTGAGGATTCCTCCTCACCCTCCTGGGGATTTATCCCCCCCTCCCCCTCCAGAGGATTTCCCCCCCCCCCCAAGAATTTCTTTCCCCCCCTCCCCCTCCTGAGGATTTCTCCCCCCCCTCCCCTTCTTGAGATTTCCCCTTCCCATCCTGAGGATTCCCCCTCCCCCTCGTGAGGATTTTTCCACCCCCTCCCCCTCCTGAGGATTCCCCCTCCCTCCCCATCCTGAGGATTCCTCCTCACCCTCCTGGGGATTTATCCCCCCCCTCCCCCTCCAGAGGATTTCCCCCCCCCCAAAGAATTTCTTTCCCCCCCTCCCCCTCCTGAGGAATTCACCACCCCCTCCCCCTCCTAAGGATCCCCCCTCCCCCTCCTGAGGATTCCCCCCCCCCCCCCCCCAACCAGGCCATTTTTTGCTTAACAGCACTGTGTTACTTTAACTGACAATTACACGGTCATGCAACGCCGCACCCAAATGAAATTTAGGTAATCCCCCCCCCCACTGATTGAGCTTTCTTTTGGTGGTATTTGATCTCCTGTACAGTTTTAGTTTTTTGAACTATAAACAAAAATACCAACAATTGCAAGAAAAAAAAAAAACAATATTTTGGACTTTTTGCTATTAACATTTCCAGTAAAAAAAATAAAGAAATAAAATTTTGTCATAAAGTTCAGCCAGAATGTATTCTGCTCCGTGTCTTTCTGAACCCCCCCCCCCCCCAAAAAGAAATCCCAAAAAACATCCCAAACCCCCAAAAAATCCCCCCCAAAAAAATCCCAATACGTGTAAATTAATTGGTTTACGTGAAAGTTATAGCGTTTACAAATGGCGGTATACAGTATATACTGAATTTTCTTCTATATACTAGTAATTATAGGGGGACTATGGCAGACATTCTGACACTGGGGGGGGGGGGGACTGACTTGGTGTCACTGACATCCCCAGTGACACCAATACAGTGATCAGTGCTAATAAAAAGCACTGATGCTCTGCTAATGGCCCTGGGCAGGAAGGGGTTAACATGAGAGGTGATCAAAGGGTTACCTGTGTATTGTGTACCATGTAAGCATGCTGCTTTGTATGGCTTTGCAACGCAGAGCCATACAAAGCAGCGTGCTGGAGCTGACAGGGGAGAGATCTGTATTGTTTACATACAGGCCTCTCCCCATCAGTGATACTCAGCGATCACCGGGTGCCGGTGGGGAATCACTGGCTGGGACCTGGTGATTGACAGCTGAAGCAGCGAATGGCGGAGCAGATAAGGCACGTGCGCCCCCTACCTGGAGATGCAAATTCACATATATATACGTGATTTTTAGCAGCCATGACGCCCTGTACCAGTATTTCTGCTTTAGCGCGGTGGGCAAGCAGTTGTAAACCCTTCCATATACCCAGTGAAGTGACTGGTCTCAAGTGATACACAAATCCTCCTACATAAGTTGTACCTGTTTATCTACAGCATTCTCTTTTCTACATTCGTTCAAAGTGCTGAATTTATACAGCTTGCATAGGAGTTCAGAAAAAAAAGAGTGGGAGGCGGGATTACACACTGCAGAGCTCAGTGTGGAGAGCACTGAGAGCTGAATGGAGGGAAGAGACACCCCCCCCCCAAAACACACACACACAAAGGAACAGAGCTGAGGCTATCAATCTGCTGGAGGTCCCTCCCCTGTCACCTTTTTTTCTCTTGGTGTCAGGAAAACTTGTCAGAAGTGACTCATGCTGATAGAAGAGGCAGGAGGCAGCAGGGAGAAATGACACTCAGTGATCTGGACTGAGACAAGTACACACTATAGAGGGATGCACTTTGTTCATGTTTCATGTATGCAGCTTGCAACCACTTGACCTTTAATGGCCTCCCAGTCTTATGCCGGCCATAGACGGGTTGAAAATCAGCCGATTTTCGCACCATTAGTGGGTCAATTGGTCAGCTGTTTTTCTGGCGTTTTTGCACATTTTTTTTATTTTCAGGCATGTTGGAAAATTTGCAGCCGATTTTTGACGATCGGTTGATTTTCCCGGCAATGATGGGCAAATCGGCCAATCGTTTTACCGATAAAAAATCTGCGCATGAGCCATGACCTGCAAGAAGAAGAAAGAGAAGAAGAAGAAAAAGAAGAAGCAGACGAAAATAAGAAGAAAAAGAAGAAGAAGAAGAAAAAGAAGAAGAATTCCAGTCCACTATTATACTTTATATGAAAGTCTTGCGGTTGCAACAATGTATCCATTTGTATCCGAATAAAACATCTGTATCCGAAATGGATACAAATAGATACATTGTTGCAACCGCAAGACTTTTTCATGTCAAATATAATAGCAGAGCTCTCTGCAGGGACAGAAGAAATTAAATGCCGGCCGTAGACAGGAAAAAATCGATTTTTTTTACCATTGGTGGTAACGTCGGCCGAACGAACAACTGATTTTTTGTTTTTGTTTTTAAATTTTTCAACCTGTCTGTGGCCTGCTTTAGTCCGTAGGGTTCATATTGAGTTGGCCCCGCCCTTTCCATGCACATGACCTTTAATGGCCTCCCAGTCTTAGTCCATAGGGTTCAATATTGAGTTGGCCCCGCCCTTTCCACGCACATGACCTTTAATGGCCCCCCAGTCTTAGTCCGTAGGGTTCAATATTGAGTTGGCCCCGCCCTTTCCACGCACATGACCTTTAATGGCCTCCCAGTCTTAGTCCGTAGGGTTCAATATTGAGTTGGCCCCGCCCTTTCCACACACATGACCTTTAATGGCCTCCCAGTCTTAGTCCGTAGGGTTCAATATTGAGTTGGCCTCGCCCTATCCACCTACATGACCTTTAATGGCCCCCCAGTCTTAGTCCGCAGGGTTCAATATTGAGTTGGCCCCGCCCTTTCCACGCACATGACCTTTAATGGCCCCCGGTCTTAGTCCGTAGGGTTCAATATTGAGTTGGCCCCGCCCTTTCCACGCACATGACCTTTAATGGCCTCCCGGTCTTAGTCCGTAGGGTTCAATTTTGAGTTGGCCCCGCCCTTTCCACGCACATGACCTTTAATGGCCTCCCAGTCTTAGTCCGTAGGGTTCAATATTGAGTTGGCCCTGCCCTTTCCACGCACATGACCTTTAATGGCCTCCCAGTCTTAGTCCGTAGGGTTCAATATTGAGTTGGCCCCGCCCTTTCCACACACATGACCTTTAATGGCCTCCCAGTCTTAGTCCATAGGGTTCAATATTGAGTTGGCCCCGCCCTTTGCAGCTATAACAGCTTCAACTCTTCTGGGAAGGCCGTCCACAAGGTTTAGGAGGGTGTCTATGGGAAGGTTGGACCATTCTTCCAGAAGCACATTTGTCAGGTCAGGCACTGATGTCGGGGGAGGAGGCCTGGCTCGCAGTCTCCGCTCTAATTCATCCCAAAGGTGTTCTATGGGGTTGAGGTCAGGACTCTGTGCAGGAC